ATATATTATGTATAAGTTATAAAGTTTTTTTATGAATTTGCCAGTCAGTATACATATGCAAACATATGTATACATATGTATATACATATATATACATAACTATACATATATTTGCTTTTTTGTCTTTTATCATAAAAGCAAAAATCCACTTTGAATGTCTTTGGGTTTAACTAAAACAGTACATGACATCCCTAAATAATTTTTGGTTATAACGTTGATAGAAAAAGCAAATCCTGACTAACATTGAAAGAAATGTTACTACTTGAATGCCTGGTTTCCTTATGTGTAGTTTTGCTTAATGCAGCACATTTTAAGGACATATTGACAAATTTAAATGTTATTAATTTACAAGCATATAAATTAAGGCCCTGTCTTAATAATCAAAGTCCACATTTATATGAGTTACAAGCCCAGAGGTGTTTACCCAATATTAAGTGTCCATCATGTAGGTGGGTATACCATTTCATTTATAATAAAATGCAGCTTTTTAATTTATAAAGAAGCAAAAATCCAATTAGGAGATTTGCAAATGAAGTTATTACATTATGGAATATATTTACTTTATTATATTGAAATTGTCTCCTGAGTATTAAATCTTATAATCAATTTCTGTCATAATTTCTTTCTGTTTACAAGTAAATATGGATATTGTGCACACTGGATACCAAAGCAGTCAATGGACTTTTTTTTTTTTTTTAAGATTTATTTATTTGTGTATACAGAACTGGGTACAGGCCAGAGGCTCGGAGCAGTGAGAGGCTTCACCAGAGACAGAGTGGGGAACAGAAACAGGCAGATTGACAAAGTACACTGCTGAGGGGAGCAGTAGGTGGGCCAGGAGAGGTCTGCCACGCCATGTGGTCACCTCCGGACCGCAGGAATCAAACTCATGTGGAAGCGGCTTTAGATTCTCAGTGCTGTGCTTTAACCCACTGTGCCACCAGGAAAGGCCCTCAATAGACTCTTTAATTCTTAAGTTTAATAGCTAAAAATAAATTATTTTACTGTACTCCAAGTGAGACTTGCTAAAACTTGCCTATAGAGAATCTAAGATTCCCCACTGCAAGCATATATCTAAACTGAAATTTTAGATGTATTTATAGAATAAAGTGTTAGAAAACTTGAATTGGGTTGGAGTCTACTGCCCTTTTTTTGATACTAATCTTTGTATAGATAATTAATTGAAGAAAAATTCAAGCAGTCTTTATGGATAACTCACTATTCAGAATTTTCTTTGTGGTGTTCAATTAGGTATGAAATAGGTGGATTAAGAATAGATTTCACTAGTCCTTCCAACATGGAAGTATTATCTACTTTGTAAAATAAATAACCTCATGAGAAATGTGACTGTATAATGTATTTCTGAGTAATCATATTACTAAAGAACATGAATTTTTCAATTATAGATTAACGTTGATAAATCCTAGAAGTCAGGCATTTGACTGATGCACCTGGCTTTCTATGACTCACAGACATTTGCAGCTCTTACTAGGTAGTCTACCAGACACTTTCCTAGCCCTTACCCACAGTCTGTGGGCCACAGAAATGCAGGTTGAGACAGAAATGCCCTTGGCTACCAGCATACCTCTCTTTGGTTAGCTAGCAGAAATAGCCAATCAAAATTAATTCTCCCATCTTTATTCCTTAACTTACATGTTTCCAGCAGTGAAATACAGTTATTAACAATGGAGAGTTCCTAGTTTGATATAGAATCCAAGCATTAAAAACAGAAGAAAATATGTGGTGAAAAAGGAACTCTCCTGCACTGCTGGTGGGAATGCAAACTAGTACAACCACTATGGAAAACTGTTTGGAGGTTCCTCAAACTGCTAAACATGGCGCTTCCCTACGACCCAGCAATCCCACTCCTAGGTATCTATCCAAAAGACACAAAAACACTGATTGAAAAAGATACTTGTACCCCCATGTTTATTGCTGCTTTATTTACAATTGGAAAAATATGGAAGCAGCCCAAATGCCCAAAAGTAGATGACTGGATTAGAAAGATGTGGTACATAGATACAATGGAATATTACTCAGCAACCAAAAAAAAGAAACACATGTCTTTTGCAGCAACTTGGATGGAACTGGAAAAGATCATGCTTAGTGAGATAAGCCAGAAAGAGAAAGAAAAATACCGGATGGTTTCACTCATAGCAGGAGTATAATGGACCAGGTGGAAAATAACAAAAATAATGAACAACCATATACCAGAGACATTTTGCGGGGGTGGAGTGGGGAGTGGGATCAAAAACGGGGTGGAGGGAGGGAAATGCACGGGATTATGGTGATGGCACATAGGTGACTTGGTGTTGGGAAACCCGCGGGGTTTACAATTGAGATGAAAAAAATGTACAAAATGATGTAAAAATAAACCTTTGTAATAAAAAAAAACAGAAGAAAATAATAAGTCAATATTATTTTAAGGGCAAAATTGTGTGT